AATGGTCCGAATAATGTAAATATTGTACATAATAATCTCATGACAGATACTGAAGGGCAAAGATGAATATGGACAATGGTCGAATAATGTAAATATTGTACATAATACCTCATCTCAGAAATATAGACAGATACTGAAGGGCCGAAACGTTGTAATAAATATGGCAACAAAGATGAGGACAATGGTCCGAATAATGTAAATATTGTACATAATACCTCATCTCAGAAATATAGACAGATACTGAAGGGCCGAAACGTTGAAAATATGGGCAAAGATGAACAATTTTGAAATAAATAATACCTCATCTCAGGACAATACTGAAAAACGATGAGGGACAATGGTCCGAATAATGTAAATATTGTACATAATACCTCATCTCAGAAATATAGACAGATACTGAAGGGGCCGAAACGTTGTACTAAATATGATCATAAAGATGAGGAAATCCGAATAATGTAAATATTGTACATAATACCTCATCTCAGAAATATAGACAGATACTGAAGGGCCGAAACGTTGTACTAAATATGGCAACAAAGATGAGGACAATGGTCCGAATAATGTAAATATTGTACATAATACCTCATCTCAGAAATATAGACAGATACTGAAGGGCCGAAACGTTGTACTAAATATGGCAACAAAGATGAGGACAATGGTCCGAATAATGTAAATATTATACATAATACCTCATCTCAGAAATATAGACAGATACTGAAGGGCCGGTCGTCTAAGACTTCCAACATCGCGGCTGGTCGCTGAAGTGACCGCTTCAATCCAGAGCAAACCTCATCCCACGTTGTGATTTGTTTGATCATAAGGCAGCTAAGGTCGAATCGTTACCGCTTGTATTTGCGGCTGTGTGTCAGTCAAAATTGCCCTTTAAGTCTGGGTCATTTTTCCATTGTTCAAACTGCTCGACATACAATTCAAGTTGTTTATGTGTGAATTAAATCTTCAATTCTTCCCACGGGTTTTTGGTATTAACCCTTCAAGTTTCAATGTCTCTCAGCACATAACACTTTCTTATGTTTTAACAACTTTCTTCCGTTTTACTGCGACAAAGACAAATAGTATTACAGAAATACATTTCCTTTACATTCTCCCATTTATATCCGATATTTTTGTCATTTTTTATTTCTCTCCCATATTTGTCATTATCTTCCTCTGTCTGCTTGTGTGCCTCAGAGGGATTATTACAACTGGTTTCTTTTTGTTCCTCTGCATGTGTCCCCTCTGGGCTGTTGGCATTTAGCCGCTCTATATTAACGTTTAATCTCTCTTTGATGTTTTCTCGGATGCCTTCGTGTTCTATGTCAGGTATTATTTTTCCTGATGATCTCTCGTCTGACATTGGCTAGTTTGTTGACATCGATGTTTAGTCTGAGGGGTGTTTTTCTCGCCAGATATTATAGGCGACTTTGGTCGTTGTTGTCGTTGTCGGATTTATAGTAGCGGTGAAAAATGCTATCATTACTTCAATATACTCAGACCCTTAATTAATTGTTCTTTTTGTGGGATTTTCTTTTAATGAATATAGAGGGCCTCTGTGAGGACTGTCCTCGGCCTGGTTTTCCTCTAGTTCTTGTTGGGTAGAGTTTGTCCCAGTTACATACTTTTGGATCTCAGTCTGGTTCCTCACTGGGGATCGCGGTCCTTGTTGACCCGCGTTACGACCGATGCGTTTTAGCAATATTGTTCGTTGTGCCAGCACTATATGTTAGTTCTTATTTACTCATACGTAGGGGTTGTTTTGTGGGCGCCATGGCATATTCATACCATGGTGGGCCATCATGTTCAGGGGGCCATACCTCCTCCTGTTATGTATTTATATATTATTATTATTTGATTTCTGGTTTATACTCATTTCTTTCCAGTTCCCTACCAGAGCAGAGACCTAAGGTCAGAAATTATTATTATTATTATTATTATTATTATTATTATTATTATTGATCCTGTAAATCGTTTGATCGAATTCTTGTATACTACTTGTAGCATGAAATGAAAACTGTTGTTCTACACGGAAGCCAAAGAATTCGAAAAAGGAGAATTATCAAAAATGTCAGTAAAGACGTGCAAAAGCCTAATACATCGAATGAAAATCGACTAATAGCAGAGATGAGTGACAAAGGATCCTCAACTAAATATTGGCTGCGTGAGGCTGAATACTTATGCAAAAATCATTATAATAATTAGGATCTAGGTAAATTGCTCGAAATCAGTTTCTCGACAGTAAATTGCTCGAAATCAGTTGCTCGAAAAATAATTTCTCGAACTATCAATTGCTCCAAAGGCAGATTGCTCGAAGTCATTTCGAAGCTTGAAGCACCACGTAAACTGCGTCAACGGAACTGGATATAAAAGGAGCCACAACACTCAACTTTAAAAGTCCTGATTTTTTTATTTTTTTTTTTTCTATTTCAGTCATTTTGGAGATCTCGAACCCTAGTGATGGACATAACTTTTGTTGAGAGCGAAAAAGGAAAGAAAAAGTTTTGTTTGGATGGATATATCTATATATTAAGGACAAAACAGGGAACAATAAGATTTACTGGAAATGTGAAATGTGCAAAAAAAAGGAAATGCTTAGCACCTGTTTTATTTTTTTTAACCACAGGTTTCGAGCAAACTGCCTTTTGAAAAAAAAAAAAAGACCTGCTATATAAATGTACTCGTTCTTCAATTTTAACTGTTCAATTAACAACAATAAAGTTGTATTATTTTTATATTATAGTAAATATTAGAAACAATGTAGTTTTATTTTTTTTAACCACAGGTTTCAAGCAAACTGCCTTTCGAGTAATTAATACTTCGAGAAATTATTTTTCAAGCAATTTACTGTCGAGCAATTGATTTCGAGCCATTTACCGGATACGTAATAATTATATGTGGCAGCGGGATAGCTTGACATGGCTAGAAAACCAGCAGTTGGCAAGACACAGTATCTTGTGAAGTCGGACCTGTGGACATTTTGTTCTTAAAGTTGTTGCGGTTTCCGAGGCAGTATTATTTTTACCCCCCCCACCACCACCACCGTCTATTTCCCCCCTCTGCCTATTACCCCCGTAGTTGTTGGGAGAGCAATTGATTAGGTATTTTTCCAAACCTCAACACACTCTTGTACATTACAACATTATACTTATGGAAATAAAATGATAATATTCATTCTCTCTTATTTATTATTAATTCACGTATTTGTTTTACTAAAGTTAATTGACAAGATAAATATAATCACAGCAGGTTGAGAACGATTAATTGTAAAAATAAAAAATAAACTTGCGGTTCGAACACATTTGCCTACAGCTGTAGTTAGTGTTGTAGTTAGCGCTGTAGTTAGTGCTGTAGTTAGTGCTGTAGTTAATTCTATTTCTTCTGGTCAGTTTGTCATCGGTATTTCGCTTCTCACATTTCGGCCATTATTTTTATTCACTCACTGAATATTCATTCCAGTCGTTACAGTGGCTCCCACTACAGATCAACCAAGAACAATATTCCTGATTTTTTCCCGTCATCCCCTTCGTTTTTTTTTTTTTTTTTTTTCTTCAGTCGTCTGGATGACTTCAACTTATCTTTTGATTTTTCAGTTAATCCAGTTTTACCTCCCACCTCCCATGCTCTTAGATTCATTTCCCGCGCTCCTGCCCCGACTGTCATCTTAATCTTCCATAACTTTTCAGTTCACTAGTAAGAGCAAAATATTTATATATCTTTTCACCTATTTTTAGATCTACTTTAGGATTCACTGGAGCAGCAAATCCAAAATCTAGTATCATTTTTCTTGTTTAATCATAAAAGTTGCGGTCCTTTAGGTTGGCTTGGGTCATTCGTTTGAATTTTAATGTCCCAGAGAATTTTATGTTTCATTCTCTTGATCAGATTCCGGTTTATTTATTGGTCTGTGTTTGTCAAGATGCCATCGATTATACACTTCCCAAGGGTACACCTTCTTCACCCAGTGGTGCTACTTCTCGTATTCTTCCTCGGCTAATTTTTTTTAATTTTCTTGATTCTCTTGTTGATTGTGTTATCAATATTTCTACAGTGTCTATATTTACTTAACACCATATATTTTTCTATTTTGGTTTCTACAGAGTTTGGCTTTTATTGTATTGTTTTGAACTACTATTAAAAGTGACACAGTTTCTATTTTAAGTTTTTTTTTCTCTACGCAGTAATGACGATATCGATCTATTTGCCACTGCTTCGATTTAGCTTCTGGGGTGTATAATTGTTTTAATTTTGAGCTCTAATTTTTGTGTCTTCTAGCTTTTTCTTTATTCGTTTGTTCCATTTAGTTCAGTTTATGACTGCTATTATTTCTACCGACATCCCGTAATTATGACGTCACTTCACTTCCTTATGCTATAGAATTATCGAAATTAATATTTAAATTAAATATATTGTCATTTGTGCTGTATGATGGTGAGTAAAAAAGAATTTATGTTTATAAATTAGTTTGGTGTACAGTAATCTGTTTAATGCCTGCAGCAAAAGTTATACATACAGGGAAATATGGAAATATGCAGGTGCGTAAAACGTTAATAAATATGAATTGGGATCAAATAAAGATAAAATATGGATCGGGATCCGACAGAATTATAACTTCAGGAATAAATAAGAAACGTCAATAAATCTAACATGTTTCGCTTTTATTAAAGCTTCATGAGATAATAAGATATGGGGAAAGCTTTAATAAAAGGGAAACATTAGATTTATAAACATTTTCTATTAATTCCTTACCTGGTCATTAATAAATATACATTTATTATTTTTCTAATTAGATGAATGAAAAAATACAAGAAAAAATTACAGTTCTAATCCAAGCATCGCTGAAGAGTAGTTAAATTAAACATCATAAAATTAATTGCGTATTTACAAAAATGTCATTTTGAATTCATAATGATAATATAAGATAATTAAAAATATAATTATAAAATGGTAATATAAAATAATTAAAAAGATAATTATAAAATGATGTAAAAACTTACCTGTCATTATACATGGTCCCTCGAATGCCAGCGTAAACTAGAGTCGGGATGAGTGGGAACACTGTAAAGATATAATTTTTAGAATATAAACAACTAACGATTCGTTTCACTTTGTTAAAATTCTTTATAGAAACTGAAATATGACACAAGGCCAGATTTATTGAGAATTTACCTCTGGGTTTACTTATCTTCAATTGTTTTGAATTTCCTGACTAGTAAGTTTCCTTACGTTTAGTTTCGGAAGGTTAGTGTCAATCACTTAATGGAGTGCCTCTCTTGAAATATAAAATTCAAATTCACTTCTTCATTTGGATTTGGACATTGGCGGTTGTCGTTGGCGAGAAATACGAAACACAGAAAACTGTCAAGTTACTGTCAAAGGTCTACTGATTGGATGGTGTCCCAACTACATGAATTTAAGCGTACTACTAGATTGAAATTCTGTTGAAATAGATAAATACAGCCGCTACTTCTACTCCAACAGTTTCTTTTCTCGCACTTCCAACCTGTGGAACTCCCTTACGTTTAATTGCATCTCTGATAACTACAATGTATAAAAAAATTAAATGCAACTTCAAGCTTCTGTCTTCTTGAATGCCGTAAATCATTTGTTCTTTCTTCAATATACTTCCTTAACTCAAGCTTTTCTCTCACTTTCACTCTCCGTAACCAGCACACTAGCGGCACTTCCGCCTTGCTTGGAATGAAATCATTTTTAAAATTGTTCATTTTCAAGGGCCTTTTATTACTGGGTGTCATATTTGCGAATCTTTCAACTCCTTAAGTGTCGTGTCCTCCTTTCAGGCGATCGATTGTCTTTCTGCATCTTTTTCTTTCAAATCTATGTGATGTGATTTAACTGTTTTTTGGCTATCATTTGAAATCGTTTTCCCTTCCTTTTAACATGATTTAGTATTAAAAGATTTCCCTCTCTCAGAGTGGTACTCAACTCTTACCTATTATATAAACTTAGCTAAGGAGAAAAGTGATGGCCTTTAAAAGTGATGGCCTTTAAAAGTGATGGCCTTTAAAAGTGATGGCCTTTAAAAAGGTGCCTTTACAAAGTGCCTTTAAAAAGAGCCTTTAAAAAGTGCCTTCAAAAAGTGGCATTAAAAAGAGCCTTTAAAAAGTGCCTTTAAAAGGTGTCTTTAAAAAGATCCTTTAAAAAGTGTCTTTAAAAAGAGCCTTTAAAAAAGCCCTTCAAAAAGGTGCCTTTACAAAGTGCCTTTAAAAAGAGTCTTTAAAAAGAGCCTTTAAAAAGAGTCTTTAAAAAGTGCCTTTAAAAAAGCCCTTTAAAAAGGTGCCTTTACAAAGTGCCTTTAAAAAGAGCCTTTAAAAAGTGCCTTTAAAAAAGCCTTTTAAAAAGGTGCCTTTAAAAAGTGGCATTAAAAAGAGCCTTTAAAAAGAGCACTAATTCCAAATCAGTGTAAACTGAAATTTGGAACTATCATGTCGATTCCATGTTCTGCTCGGTTAACTATTAGTCCATCTATATCTCTATATATTTTAAAATAATTTACATTCTATTCATTGATTTTTCAAGTTTTACTAACATGATAGGCAGGTAATGTAAAGATTGGTTGAATTCCAGTCGAGTTCATTGCATTCATTTTCAATTTAATACCAAAACTATGGGTTAAATAACCGACCAGATTGTCTAACTGTGGTTGGCAATCAATCTAAGAAAAAGATAACTCTGAATTCTAAACCGTATGTATCCCAAGGGAAACACATACGATATGTTGTTGTAAATAATTATGGAGTTCATAATTACTCTATGAACTTCGATTACAAACGATGAAGTAAATAAGTCGTAATATGAACAAGAACATATTTTAAAAAAAATAAAAGTTCAATACACTGCTTTAATGAATTAATTGTCTTGATAATTTTTTTACCACTTTCCCTTTGTATGATGACGATATTAATTAGCTGAGAACAATACAGAGACAAATGTTAGTCAAATCTTCTTAGGAGATAGGAATCAATTAAATTCGTTGGAAATTAGCATTCGAAAGTATGGTTTTGACATAGACTCGATAATTGGGTTCAATACGCAATCATATCATCAATAAAATGATCCTAAAAGTATTGCTGTGCTTTACTAACATACAATTAATCAGACAAAAGATATATATATATATATATATATATATATATATATATATATATATATATATATATATATATATATATATATATATATATATATATATATATATATAACTAACTTAAAAATGAACAGAAATCCAACAAACCAACTAAAATTAAAAATTAACAGACTTAAACTAACCCTAAATAAACTTAATTAACAGACTTAACCTAACCCTAACCCTAACCACTACCAATAATGCCGAACAGGACAGTTTAAAACTTCCTAAAACTGTCGGTGATTATAGGCACGGTTACACATATGGCATTATAAAACACACAAACAAAACTAAACTCTCCGTTCTATTATATCACTAATCATTAATTTAACTTTCAGATGAACACGGGGATTTTCCCTTTGAAATTATGAACACTACAATATTTATTTTGAAATAAACAACACCCTAAGAATAACATTGTGCTATGTCGAAAGTACTCGGAATAAAAAAGGTATGAACACACTGATTTTCTCTCTTGTTTTAATAATGACACCCAAGAACTTATCCACGAATGTCAAAGGAGCCAATTGAAAATGAGTAGACAAACTTGTCTACAATATTCAACGAAAATATGCTACCAAAATAGAGGCAATATATACATACATACATACATACATACATACATCTATCTATCTATCTATCTATCTATCTATCTATCTATCTATATATATATATATATATATATATATATATATATATATATATATATATATATATATATATATATATATATATGAAGAAATATACTCTTAAGGTGTGCGATATTTATGGAATAAAGTGCTCAATATCAGAGATAGAGTGTGAGTAAATATAAAAGAAAACATCGAAGTCAACACTTAGAGGCTACAGGCTGTTTGAAGCTAGACGGAATCGTCAGGCCACCTGATATATATATATATATATATATATATATATATATATATATATATATATATATATGTTATATTTGTATGTATATATTCAAAAGAAATCTGACCATGAGGCTCCAGCCATTTTGAATATCCCCAGAACTAGTTTTGAGGTTTTAATATCACTTAACTGAATGTCAGAAAGGACCAGATTGCACATGATTACACAGACATTCTCTCGAAGGGTTATTCAGCCAGCAGGTTAACGCTATTGGATGAGCTTCTTCACTGTGCGACCATCGATATTTTACTTGTATTTAGTACAATGTTGTCATTTCTTCCCATGTTAAAGATGACCCTTCAGCAATTCTATAATAACTAATATGAAGGTTAAGTACACAAAAAAATAGTAAATGTAGGTGATATAGAAAAATAAATTAGACTGTTATTCATTTCAAAAACGAATGCAGCAAGATAGTCCCAACATAAAACAAAACTAGTCATGAATAGGTAAGAAGAGTTATCTATTGAAAATAGTTCAAGGGAATTGGATCGTCCAGTAAAACAAACGATACTGAAAACAGTGCAAGGGAATTGGATCGTCCAGGAAAACCAGCGAGATTGAAAATAGTGCAAGGGAATTGGATCGTCCAGGAAAACCAACGAGACTGAAAATAGTGCAAGGGAATTGGATCGTCCAGGAAAACAAACGATACTGAAAACAGTGCAAGGGAATAGGATCGTCCAGGAAAACGAGCGAGATTGAAAATAGTTCAAGGGAATTGGATCGTCCAGCAAAACCAGCGAGATTGAAAATAGTGCAAGGGAATTGGATCGTCCAGGAAAACCAACGAGATTGAAAATAGTGCAAGCGAATTGGATCGTCCAGGAAAACCAGCGAGATTGAAAATAGTTCAAGGGAATTGGATCGGCCCAGTAAAACAAACGATACTGAAAACAGTGCAAGGGAATTGGATCGTCCAGGAAAACCAGCGAGATTGAAAAGAGTGCAAGGGAATTGGATCGTCCAGGAAAAACCAAGGAGATTGAAAATAGTGCAAGGGAATTGGATCGTCCAGGAAAAACCAGCGAGATTGAAAATAGTTCAAGGAAATTGATCGTCCAGGTAAAAACAAACGAAAATAGTGAAAACAGGATGTCAGGAAAACCAACGAATTGAAATAGTGCGTCCAAGAAAAAACCAGCGAGATTGAAAAAATGGTGCAAGGAAATTCGATGGTCCAGGAAAACCAGCGAGATTGAAAATAGTGCAAGGAAATTGACTGGTCCAGGAAAACCAACGAGATTGAAAATAGTGCAAGCGAATTGGATCGTCCAGGAAAACCAAAGAGATTGAAAATAGTTCAAACGCCCAGGAAAACAAACGATACTGAAAACAGTGCAAGGGAATTGGATCGTCCAGGAAAACCAGCGAGATTGAAAATAGTGCAAGGGAATTGGATCGTCCAGGAAAACCAACGAGATTGAAAATAGTGCAAGGAAATTCGATGGTCCACGAAAAAAAACAGCGAGATTGAAAATAGTGCAAGGGAATTCGATGGTCCAGGTAAACAACGAGACTGAAAATAGTGCAAGGGAATTGGATCGTCCAGGAAAACCAGCGAGATTGAAAATAGTGCAAGGAAATGCGATGGTCCAGGAAAACCAGCGAGACTGAAAATGGTGCAAGGAAATTCGATGGTCCAGGAAAACCAGCGAGACTGAAAATAGTGCAAGGAAATTCGATGGTCCAGGAAAACCAGCGAGACTGAAAATAGTGCAAGGGAATTGGATCGTCCAGGAAAACCAGCGAGATTGAAAATAGTGCAAGGGAATTGGATCGTCCAGGAAAATCAAGGAGATTGAAAATAGTGCAAGGGAATTTGATCGTCCAGGAAAACCAGCGAGATTGAAAATAGTGCAAGGGAATTGGATCGTCCAGGAAAACCAACGAGATTGAAAATAGTGCAAGTGAATTGGATCGTCCAGGAAAACCAGCGAGATTGAAAATAGTGCAAGGGAATTGGATCGTCCAGGAAAATCAACGACACTGAAAAAATAGT